AGAGCCCAGACTGCCTTGAACTTTCAATTTCACCTCAGCCTCCTGAGTGCTCACATTATAGTATGCACCACCATGACCAGCTGGGAGTGGTATTTTTGTAAAAATAAGAATATACTTCTACATATTTCTTCTATAATGCCTTCTCACATAGCATTATATCTCTGTATTAAGTTTTGCCCCATCAGTTTTAGACCACTGTTTGGATTTATGCAATTTATTTAACCAGTCTTCTATTCTTAATATTCTAGATTAATTTTATAAGTATATAACAGAGCTGTAGAGAATATTTCTTAAGCTTTTGAGGATTCATTTGTTACTTCCTTAGAATAAATTCTGGATGTGAAATGGCTAACTCAACAGATATGTATATTTTAGTTTTTAATACAAACTACAAGCTAGCCTCTAGAAATTAACCCTATATACACTTCTGTTTTGATTATAAGGTTGAACAAATTCCTTCCTTCTACTTCCTTGCCTCTCTGTCCATTTACATTTCTTCTGTGGCAATTTTTGTTTATATTCCTTTGTTATATTCCTGTTAGACCATTCATTTCTTAATAAATTTATAGAAGTTCTTTTCATATTTAACATCTTTTTTTTTTTTTTTTAGTACTGGTTTGAACTTAGGCCTCACACTTGCTAGGCACGTGCTCTACCACTTAAGCTACTCTGCCATCTCTTTCATATTTAAGATACTAATCCTTTGTTGTATGCATCACACTTTTTTTTTCTGTTTGTCATTTATCTTTGTTATTGGTGGAGTTTTTTGTAGATACTTTAAATTTTGGGCAATCAAACAAGTCTATCTTTGCTGGAGGTGTGGCTCAAGTGTAGAAGTACCTGCTTCGCAAGTGAGGCCCAGAGTTCAAACCCTAGAACTGCCAAAACAACCAAACCAAAAAAACAAAACAAAAAATATTAAAACAACTCGTCACTGCAGAAAACCATGACCATCTTTTCCTTAATGATCTTTGTTAATGTTTGCACAGTTAAGAAAGGTCTGAGGAAGGGCAGGTGTAGACTGCAGAGAGCTGTCTGCATGTTATCTCCAGCAAGCTAGGAGCTATTCAAGTTTTTCAGAGGGAATAGCATGGTAAGAGAAACAGTGTATTTTAGATTAGAGGAGGATGACTTGAGGGAGCTGTCTGGAGGGCAGAGCATTTAGAAGGCTGTTGAACATGGTCCAGGTTTCAGACTAATGAGGATTTGAGTGGCAGAGTGGTAACAGGAACAGAGAGGAGTGTACTCAAGGAATGTTTAGGGGCTCACAGGCTCAGGACTTGATGCATGATTGGATTGGAGAGTGAAGGAGAAGTGTGGAAGGAGAGCCATTCCAGGTTTCTGGTTGAGTGCTAGGTAGGGGAGTGTGACATGAATGCTGACTGGAGCTGTGTCTTACAGGAAGAAGGGGACGTGATGGAAGAAATTTAAATGAGGAAGTATGATGAACTATTGTTGATCACTGAGTATTAGTCTATAGTGTGCTTCCGGTCGTGTTTTGGTAATTTGTTGCTATCTATAAATAACCACTCTAAAAGCTTGTAGTCCAAATCAACTATAGTGTTTATTGTTTCTCAAGATTCCGTAGGTTGGTCTGAGGTCTCATTTGGAATCCTGCTAGGTTTTTGCTTATCTTATTTGAGGTCTGTCAAAACTTTACTCTTACCACCAACTCTAAAGTATACCTGAATTTAGAATATTCCAGCATGGACCAAAGTGGTATGTTTTTAACAACATGTTTCATCCATAAGCAGAAATATGTATCAGAGAAATACAGGAAACTGATATTTATATCCAGTGTGGAGGTATTTTTTTAGAATGCATCTCAGTGAGATTGGGTGAAGGGGTGTGCCTTTTTACATTTGTTTTTTATTAAAGTGGGCTAAGGGTTTTTGAGCAAATTATTTTTAGGAAAGAAGTACCTTGGGAAGTAGTGTCATGAAATTGACTTGTTTGAAACTGTCCCGTGCAGGAATAGTTTTAAAATTACTAGTCAAGTGCCAGAAGAGCAATGGACTGATTAGGAATTGAGGGTGAGCAACACATAAAGGATAGTTTAGTACCAAAGAGCTCCTAAAGGAGACAGATAAGTAGTCTCCAGAGAGACGTGAGGAGATGCAGTAGACTTCAGAGTCTTGTAGACATGGGCCCTAGAGTTACAAAAAGTAAGATAGGATAAATTCTTTTGCATTGGGAAATAGTGTGGCATTGGCCTTCACAAGAGCGAGTTTCCAGAGGAGTGATGGAGTGGAATAATAAATGCGTATGAGTTTGATGACTGGGAGACCAAGTCTAGACTACTTCTTCAATAAGTTTGATTAGGAAAGAAAGAAAGATAGCATGTGGATAGCATCAGGAAAAGGAGAGAGAGTAGGAAGTTGATATTGATTAAAACAAGAATGAGAGCAGTTTTCTGATGGAGTAAGGTTCCTAGAGGAGATAATAGGAAACGATCTTTGTTTTTTTAAAATTTGCAAGTCGTCTTTCAGATATTTAGGCCAAACACCACTTTCCAGACCTCCAGTTGGGTCCTTCTGTGTTCTCAGGCCCAAAAGCTTCTTAGTTCTCATGTATGTAATCAGAAAAATCCTCTTTGCTCTAAACATTCCAGCACATCCAAAATCCAACTACTTCCTATTGCTTCTGCTGTTGTCTTCCTGGGCCCAGCTACAGATAGCCTGGGTTATGGCAGCTGTTTGTTCACTTCTGCTGGAGCTTCCCGGCCTTCTCTAACATAGTAACTGAGCAGTACTTTAAAATGCAGATTGTTTCCTGTTAACTACCTCTGCTCAGAACCATCCAGTGATTTCCCATTTCACTCAAACTGAAACGGCAAGTCTTTTTTTTTTTTCATTTTTCTTTATTATTCATATGTGGCATACAAGGCTTGGTTCATTTCTCCCCCCCTGCCCGCCCCGCCTCCCTTACCACCCACTCCGCCCCATCCCTCTCCCCCCGCCCAATCCAGCAGAAACTATTTTGCCCTTATTTCTAATTTTTTGTTGAGAGAGAGTATAAGCATAACAGGAAGGGAACAAGGGTTTTTGCTGGTTGAGATAGAGGAGTAGCTTATACAGGGCATTGACTCACATTGATTTCCTGTGCGTGGGTGTTACCTTCTAGGTTAATTCTTTTTGAATCTAACCTTTTCTCTAGTACCTGTTCCCTTTTCCTATTGGCCTCAGTTGCTTTAAGGTATCTGCTTTAGTTTCTCTGCGTTAAGGGCAACAAATGCTGAGCTAGTTTTTTAAGGTGTCTTACTATCCTCACCCCTCCCTTGTGTGCCTCTCGCTTTTAGCATGTGCTCATATCCCAATCCCCTTGTTGTGTTTGCCCTTGATCTAATGTCCACATATGAGGGAGAACATATGAATTTTTTGGTCTTTTGGGCCAGGCTAACTCACTCAGAATGATGTTCTCCAATTCCTCCATTTACCTAGCGAATGATAACATTTCGGTTCTTCTTCATGGCTGCATAAATTCCATTGTGTATAGATACCACATTTTCTTAATCCATTGCGTCAGTGGTGGGGCATCTTGGCTGTTTCCATAACTTGGCTATTGTGAATAGTGCCGAAAATAACATGGATGTGCAGGTGCTCTGGAGTAACAGGTCTTTTGGGTATATCCCCAAGAGTGGTATTGCTGGATCAAATGGTAGATCCGATGTCCAGCTTTTTAAGTAGCCTCCAAATTTTTTTCCAGAGTGGTTGTACTATCTACATTCCCACCAGCAGTGTAGAGGGTTCCTTTTTCCTGCATGTCGCCCAACACCTGTTGTTGGTGGTGTTTGCTGATGATGGCTATTCTAACAGGGGTGAGGTGGAATCTTAGCGTGGTTTTAATTTGCAATTTCCTTTATTGCTAGAGATGGTGAGCATTTTTTCACTGTTTTTCTGGCCTATTGAATTTCTTTTTGAGAAGTAGTTCTATTTAGTTCACGTGCCATTTCTTTATTGGTTCATTAGTTTTGGGAGAATTTAGTTTTTTTAAAGTTCCCTTGTAATTATCTGGTTATCAGTCCTTTGTCTGATGTATAGTTGGCAAAAATATTTTCTCCCACTCCTGTAGGTGGTTCTTGCTCAGTTTTGAGACCAGTTTCTTTGATGAACAGCAAAGCTTTTTAGTTTATGAGTCCCATTTTATCTATTGCTAAGGCTCTTTACTTTGCTGTGCCCTGGCTCCGGGGTTTCCATCTGAAGACAGTTGCCTTACCTTATACCTACCTATACTCCAGAGTATTTCCCTCTCCTTCTTCTTGTATCAAACTTAGAGTTTGTGG